GTTCGAGTCGTTGATGAATGTGACTAAACGTCAGCGCTTAAGTGAAACGTTAAACCGCACTTCCTATGTAGACAGGACTAACCAGGCGCGAACGACTGCCATTCAATAAAGTACGATACAAGTTTTAAAATATGAATGTAAATCAGTTTATACACTTATATTACGTTATATATTTCTCACAGATTAATCTCTCTCTCTCTCTCTGAAACATATTATTTTCTATATTTATTCAGCCAAGGCTCAGTACTGTCCGCAGTGTAACCAATGGACCAGATTTTACAACCGGGACAATCAGACGGGTCTCGGAGATTTAGAGCTCCTTTCTAGTCATCGTTCTGACAATCCGGGCGAAATCTGTCAGGAACCGGAAGTTGTCGAAGCTCGGAGTACTTCAGGTATTGGTGGAGAAGTGATATCAATTGGTCCTGATTATGGTTTCTCCTGTTCTAATTTCTTACAAGATGATGGCCAGTGTCAAGATTACGCTGTTCGATTCTGATGTAGGCAAAGTAAGTTGAAACTATCTGTTTCTATCTAATTCAATCTATAACCACCTCACGATTAAAAGCATGAATTTGGAAACGTGTGAGAGGAACCAAATAAGAGGCTCGTATTATATAGATTTTAGACGGTTGAACGATTAAGAGAACTAATCGATTCCGTTTCCTTAGATAAGGTACAAATGCCAAGGTACAGGAATAGGGCAGCGTCCCTCCTTTTATGTTGGATGTTTCTTTCGTCTAGGCTCCCCAGCCTGTCCTGTTGGATTTTGTGGACCGCCTTCTGCGATCGTGACAACTATAGCTATAACCACACCAGTACTGAAGGCAGTTATGTTTAATTTTGTTTGATCCAGTTTCCCTATATACAAAAACCAACCAGGCTACAGTAATATTTGATCTAAAAAGATCCGACTTTTAAATTTGCTTTTTTTTCGTCTAGGCACCCCAGTCTGTCCTATTGGATTTGCTTGGACCGCCTTCTACGATAGTGACAATGCTACTGGTACTGGTGATCACGAGACATTGTCCCTTATCAGGAAGCACCACCCCGGTGTATGTCGGTCCCCACGAGCCATTGATGTCCGCGTTTCAAGTACCGGTTACGACTACAGATCAACTGGCGAGTCTGTATGTTTGTGTCCATCAAGAGGCTTTACTTGTCAAAATGTAGATCAAGATGATGCACAATGTGAAGATTACAAAATAAGATTCTGCTGTCCAACTTAAACGAACAAAATCATGAGTTTATTAACATGGCGAAATAAATGCTAGCTAGCAATGAGATGTGTGTGTATTAATTGAGCACTGCTGACACCACGCAGTCCTGAAATGAAATGGGGTTTAACATCCCACTGTTCTCTAGCGACTGGGCTAATGACGACGGCCACCCAGTCCTGAATTTGAAAACACCTATCTTTAAAAGTATTATTATGCATACCCGTTGTGCTATTTCAATATGACTGTTCTCAATTACAGTTGAGGTCCTGTGTATAAGTATAAGAACCCCTGGAAAGTGGTATTCTTTATAGAAGTCGGCCGTACCGCCACTGCCCGGTTGAAATTGCCCTCGTAGCATATTGATGGGGATTGAAATGAAATGGTGTTTAACGTCCCACTGTTCTGCTCCGAACTAGGCTACTGAAGACGGTTTACCGTCCCACCCGAACTACTAGACAGCTGTCCTTGTCAGGTTCTCCGCCCTGCACCACTGACAAAGGGAACCACGACGGAAAATCTGGATAAACTTTCTTGGCCAATGCAGGGATCGAACACCTCACCTCCAGGCTAGCGAGCCAGCGTCTTACCCAATTAGCCACTGTAATCAGCTATATGGGGTATGCCATTAGCAGAGTCGGAGCAGAACTCATTTCATTTCTCATTTAGTGTATCATTTAAATTGCTATATGGATATAAGTAGATAATCTACCAATTGTTCAGGTCACAGAATAGATTATACCATCTAGAAAAGGCAACATTTCCTCCAAATATATTATGGCGGTCAACTATCTTTAAATTTTCCGAAATGTAAAACCCTATGTCTACCAATTATTCAGCTTCTAAACCACTAAGCGCCTGGGAATGCAATTATAACACCTAGAAAAAAGAAACCGTTCATATTTTGTTAAACTATATAAACCAATAGCTTCACTTCTGACCAGGATCGAAATACAATTATACTATCTAGAAAAGGGGTCAGATTGCCTTTATTATCAAGTTAGAAAAAAACCCGAATCGATATACTTATACCTACCAATACCTCAACTTTTGGAGCCGCTAAGATCAATATCTTGTTGTTTAAAGCAACCATTTTGAGGATCCAGAAATAAAATTCTACCACCGGGAAAATGACCAGATTACTTTTTATTAACACAGGTTGATACAAGTTGATCACAAAATCCTAAGCAGTGTGATCGTAAGCTACTGTAATCACTGACGACAATATTGCATGGACTCGTACAATGTATGTTACAATATATTATCATTACCCGCTGCACTTTCTCAGAGTACAGTGCAGTACCATAAGGATCATTTTGTTTTATTTAAGATAGCGGCTGGAGAAAGTAACATTCCAATATCACCAGCTTATGGAGTGTTTGTGTCTCAAGTAAATCGTTACGCGAGAGCTTGTTCATTTTATTCTGATTTTTTAAGTAGATCGAGGCATTTGTCATCTAAGCTTCAACTACAGTGATACTTGCGAACTAAACTTATTAAAACCTTTTAAAAGTTTTACGGGCGTCATATTGACTTGATTGGTTAATATAACATGTCTCTCTCGGCTATTATTCTAGATTTATTTAATTGATAATGTCTGTCTACTACACCGTTAACACTGTTCATCACATGCATTTTGCATACCGATAGTCCATTGGCCACTCACGCTATTTTACCGAGATTTCGCCTAATAGTTTGGATGCAGCTATGGCGGGTGTGGCGCCAGGCAGGGTAAGCTTACTCTTCCGGACACCTGTTACCACTGTTTGTCGTGTATTTTGTACACGGTGAACAGTCCATATGCTGATTACACTATTTTGCCTTATTGCACTATTTTGCCTATACCGTTTTTTTAGGACTTCGAATTTTGTCTAATGGTTTGGATTGTTCGTACTTGGTTTTATTTTATTTCGTCAGCACCCCGCCTAAAGTTTCAAAACATTAAATTACACAAACTATGACGTAGTTTTATTCAGTGAAAAGCACAACACAATTTATATATAAAACAATCACTTGTTTATACACATATAGCACGGTGTTTCCACAAATGTTCTTTTATTATTTTTTAAATAACATAGACCAAAGACCATTAGGTAATTATTGTATTTAGACCAGGAGTCACGGTGGCTCAGTGAGTAAGCCGCTGGGTGCCTCGGGTTCAATACCAGTGTTGGCTGAGAAAGTTACTCGGATTTCTCTTCATCAGTGATGCAGAACGGAGGTACAAAAAAACAACAACAAACAAGGTCCCATGTACACGCTGGTATGCACGTAAAACATCCCTTGACAACGGAAATTCAACGAAACGTCGCTGTCTGGGCATATCGCGACATTACTACGCGAAAGGTGTATCAAGGGAGGCAAATCCATATTTTGGGAATGAAATGAAATGGGGTTTAACGTCCTGCCAAGACTAGGCTAATTAAGACGGGTATACAGTGTTGTATGGTGGCAAGGTACAACTATCTCAAAGCCTGCCAAACAAAACGCCTAAATTAACATCTAGATATGGCAGCGTACGAATTAAAATGAAATGGAGTGTAACGTCCCTCGTTTCTGCTCCAGACCATGGGGTTCACCATGGAAAACTTGAATACGCAAACCGGAAGTAGCATAATGGTAAACATGGAACTATCTGTCCTACATTTCAACGTAACCAACCTCTGAACTCTCTTATACTTTTGAATCCAAATCATGACTATGCAGCTTATTTTTCGGGCAGACTGGTAAAGTGAAAAAAGAAATAAAAAATATACTATTTTAACCTTATAGTAGGCAAAATAAAATGCCCGAAATCCTATGACTTATTGGTCCGAAGCCTCGCTGCTTTGTGCGACAGTTTTCGGCCATCTGGTTCGTAAATGTTTCTGGAATCGAAATTTCTTTACAATGACTGACGGTTAAAACATTTAAAATCAAAGAAATATCCACTCAGCTCTAAGCGTGACACGTTTTTCGGGCATCAACATTTGTTTCGTCAGTGAAATGTCGAATGTTACGTGAATGCCGCGGATCGATTGACTGGTTGATTAGAGTTCACATGTGCTATATTGGACCATTTCAGGTTTCTGTATTAACGAGTTGAAATAGCAGGAACAGACGTTTGGAGCCATCTTAATCTCATACATTTCCTTTGGAGATATCACCCTCATACCCTCCCAATCTTTCGACCATTTCACTTCTTACCCCTCTCCGGCAACATCTGAAATTGGGCCGGAATAGGATGAAAACGCGTTGACAGCTGGTTATGTCTAAATATTAAGGCCAACTGCAGATTTTGTCAAGTTCGCCAGATGTTAATAGGGTTAGGGCACCTAATTGGTGACGAGATTGTGGATTAGGGCTAGGTCAAGGGTTAGGGGTAAGGTTAGGGTTAGCGCTAGCCCTGTTTACATCTAGTGACCTTTGACGAATCCTGCAGTTGGCCTTAATATTTATACCTAACCGTTGACCATTTCTGCCGCCACCCAACACATCCCCCAACCCCACCCCAAAGCTGATCGCCTATGACCTTTAACTTGATAATCTTGTTGTCACGTGAGGGGTTGGGGAGGGTCCTCAATTCCGCTACGATCAACATGCAAATTGGCATGTTTATTCTTCCGACAATTGTGAAACTGGCTGCGATGACGGCATGTTAAGTTCTTGGTTTTTATAGTACGTCAGTAATTATTACGTTAGATGATACTCGGTGACGTAACAGGAGTAGTGGTTTGCTGAATGATATCGATCTAATAGTTTGGGACTGGGTTGGAGACACTGCTCTTTAAATACACACAAATCTAATAGCTAACTGGCTTTATTTCTCAAACTTAATCAATGCATGATTCTGTTCGCTTAATAATTAATTGGGACAGCAGAAACGGATTTTGTAATCCTGACATTGTCCATCGGGTTGCTGTGAATTTACACACGAAAAGCCAAGTTCTGGAACCAGACATACAACCTCGCCGGCTGTGGAGTAGTCGAGACCGGTACTTGTAACACGGACGTCAATAGCTACTGGATCTGTACATACAGGGGCATTGGGGTAATTGTTGTTGATTGCCGACAACGTCTCGTAATCACCAGTTGCACCAGGTGTGTCACTATCATAATAACTGGTCCATTGATATCCAGTGGGACAGGATGGGTAGACTAAACAAAAAAACAGAAAAAAAACAACAAATAATTGAAATGGGGTTCAACGTCCTACTGTTCTTCTCTGACTGACCTAATAAATACGGACACATACCATACAGTGTGCTATGAGTGAAATTGTGCCCGGATAGCGGTGCAACGGCCTATCCCTTTATCGAATAGCAACAGCCAAGGGTTCGTTTACTTGCTCACCAATGTGTACACGTCCAGCATCAGTCACAAGAGGGAACCACGCCGAAAAAAACACAAAAAAAAAAAACAAACCAAAAACAAAAGAAAACCCTATGATGAAAGACTGGTTATAGTTTGAAATCGTTAAACATGCATTATGTAAGAGCCACATCTGTCTATTGTAGATCTTTAATTGTGGCTTCAATTTTTTTATGAATGATTAATTCGACATTTATTCACACGACAAGCACACTTTGCCTAAACTACAAACAATGATTACTTCGCTCAGAATGAAGTAATTTGAATGAAATTTTGAATATATTCATTTTGCATTATCTATTTTTAAACTATTATAGCCAGAACGACCAGCTCTGTGTCTAAATCTTACATAATGTAAGAGGTGGTTATTGGGGAACAATTAAATCTGTACTCACGATAACTGCAGCAGTATCGTACTTTATAGTCTTCACACTGTCCATCAGGTTGCAAGAAATTGAAACATGACAAACCATAATCAGCAGCAATCGATACATCGTCCCGAAAAAGTCCCGTGAGACGTTCAGCATGCACAACCTCCGGTGCAGCACAGATCTGTCCAGGATTTTCTTGTCGGTGAAGAACAAGGAGCTCAAAATCTCCAATACCCGTTGGCTTGTCTCGGTTGAAAAACGGTGTCCATTTGTTACACATCGGACAGTGATTAACTGCTTCGGCTAAATAAACAAAGATAAACAAAAAGATTCAACACATCCTTCAAATTATCAGAAGAAATATTTAATTGAGCAGGTAGGACTCCAACCAAACTATGACGTTAATAATGAATCTGGAGATCAGGAAAAAGCTTGAATTCTCCAATTGCCGAACGGTCATCCCAGTTGTAATACCAAGTCCATGGGATATTATTGTATTATATTCTTTTTTAAACAAAACTAAAATTATGTTATATTTTGTATATACGTCAAGTTTGTGTATGTCTGATAATTTTGTTTTATGTGTTGTCTATGCTGTTGCCGCCATATCAAACTCACCGAAAGTTCAGCGCTCGAGGGGTAACGGCCACTGTACACAAACTAGGTCATTTCGGGATTAACATATGGTTCAATTTTATTTCAATGATTCGCTTGCGCTTAGGGGTCTTTAACAGTGGGAGGTACACCTGAGACTCGGATCCTTCTCAAGCGACAAAGGAAAACCATAACGGAAAATCACAATGAACCTTCCAGACCATCACCGGGATCGAACTCGCGACCCCTTGGTTAGTGGGCCAATGTCTTACTCACCGAGATCCCGTACTATAAAGAACTAAATGAACGATCAATGGCGATCATGTTTTGATTTTTTTGTAAACAAGACTACTATGTAAATATGTATAAATTGTTGTATTTTGTCCATCGCTATATAATGATATTGTTTTAAAAATCTCCCAGATGAGCGAAAAGTACTTTAACAATGATAAAATGTAATTAAACCAGTGTTGAAATCAGTTTGTGTCGGCATACCTTTTTACCGTTTATCATGCAAAAAAGTAGTGCAGCTTTACAGCTATATATGAATAACATATATAGCTTATTTCCTTGCGTTGCACGGATAGTGCCCCGAGCCGGAAGTAGTAATGGTACCATGCCTATGTCTTTCCGCGACTCGATCTGTCCCTAACCCCCAACTTGCAAACTCGGTGCAACTTCGAACAGACAAATTTAAATAAATAGATAGATGTACATTTTCTGACAAGTTGTAGAAAGTAAATCAAAGTTACTTACAGGCGATCCATTAATAAAATAAAATAAAAGATAGTTACCTGAAGCCACCAGAGCAAGTACTGTGATAATGAAGACTTTCATGGTTCTTGTAGAATCAGTAGCAGTCTGTCGATCGACTGATGACCAACGATCCTGGACAGTCTTATATACACAACACCCTTGTCACTTTGATAAATTAAGGAAATCTCATGAATATTTTTAACTCTTGGAACATTTCTAGAACAGTTTGATTTATTTCCAAGTTATAATAATTAATAATGTGATAAGTGGGCGTATAGGTAGGTATTTTGAACTAGTTCGATTTAAAAGCAATTTATTATCCTTGTACATGACTTATAGATAATAAACATTAAAGGACACATAGCAACCATTTTGAAAGGCGCCTTCAGGTGTTGGGTGGTTTGGTACATTTGCGTGTACGTAAAAGAACCCTTTACAGTTGAAATAAGCCTAGACCGCAACGCGAGTGTCCGGCCATATTGTCCTCATAGAGCACTGCTTGACATATGTTCGTCTTCATTATAGCCCGGTTGGTGCAGAGAAGTCAGGCTTTAAATCCCATTTCATTCATTCATTCATTCGACAATTTCTGAAGTAAGAGTCAAACCAGTGCTTTTTCACAATTGAAGACAATACTTTGGTCATTTTGAGATTAACATATGGTGATTGTTATTTTTATGGTAGTATGGACAACGTAAGGTGGATAACTTTAGCCTCCTTGATTTCCTACAGCCAATGGGTACACGATTGGATCTCATAATGTTAACATACCAAATGCTTGCTCTGTAGACGATGAGGTCTCCCAGTTGATCCTACGAGGGCATTTTGGCATCATTTAGTGGATTTGATACCTAAATGGTTTGATGACTACGCCAGATTTGTGATATTGTTAACTGGGTGAGCTAATAAACCTGAATTTTATACACAAATAAACTATCAAATAGCTGATGTACAAGGGTTTCGTGAAAAGGTCAGTAACTCTGAAAAGATTACTGAAGGCTTAACCCATGACAAAAACTAGCCCAATAACTTTATTAGTTTGTTTAAAGGCTAGATGCGTCTTTCTCGAGGAGAGAAAGAGAGAAATGGGTCTTAACGTCCAATCGACGCAAACTAGGTCATTTCGGGACTAACATATGGTTTTAATTTTATTTCAGTAATTATTTCGTTTTTTTATACTTTCGTTGACCTCTACGACATGAAGATATGACCAGTTGTAGCGGGAAGTCGTATTAGAGGCCATACGAGCGGCTTTTGACCCTATGACGTCAGACATTTGATTAACCAATCAGCGTTGAGGTTTCTAGTGGGTTAGCAACACTTCCATACAACTCACGCATAAATCCCGCCGTAACAGACCCTTTTATTGGCTAATCCCTCACACCAATAGGAACGCGAGTTATATAACAACTCTTCCAGATCCTAGAGTAGTAAAAACAAGTAAAGCGAAATTTTGAACAATAAAAAACGAAACGAAATAGGACCAGGTTGCGGCGTCTTGTTAAAAAGATCAATGAAATGTCAATTTATTATAAATATTGAACGCAATAAGTTGGGCTGATTAGATTAGCGAGTTATTATATAGTTTGAGGAGGAAGTGTCACCTTACTCCATTAGTATTCGCATATGATAAATTGAACTGATTGTACGTTACATTTTTATCCGGGGATTGGGAGACCGAAAGGTCTAATGCTGTAAGTTATACCAATAAATTTATCAACCTATTATATAGTTTGAGAAGGAAGTGTCGCCTAAGTATTGGCATATGAAAAATTAATCCATTACGTGTCGTTTTTGTGATCCGAGGGTTGGGTGCCCGTGTGTTGAAAGCGTGCGCGTTGGACCATAAGGTATGTCAATCAGTCAAGTGGCTTGGTTTCGATTACAAGCTTTTACGTGACAACTTTGTGCCCCCCCCCTCTCTCTCTCTCACACACACAATCAATAGTAAACATGTGTTACATGCAGGTATCATTTATAATAATGTCATATTCCTGTACGAATACAATATCCCCCCATACCCTACTGCATGACGTATGTCTGGGTGGTTCGGAAAGATAGGATGCTACACAAATTTTATTTCCACGACAGTTTGTATTCGTAAAAAGAGTAAGCCAGAGTGTCACGGTGACCTCGCATAAAGAACAAGATCCAATTGAAGGGTAATGGAGGTGGGGGGGGGGCGACTATGTGTGTCATGCTCGAGCCGTTAGGTTAGTGAGTCAACAAGTAGATCAGCCGCCAAAGAAAGCGTATTGATCTGTAACAAGTTCTCAATATACGATTCATTTGTTATATTCACAGTCAAATCTGATATTTCCTTCTCAAACTAAATAATGACGTTTCAAATAGGTTTTCACCACAGCTTGTGTTGTTCAATAAATGCACGAGTTCTCATTATTAGAGTCATTTGTTATATTCACAGTCAAATCTGATATTTCCTTCTCAAACTAAATAATGACGACATGGAACGGGCTTTAACGTCGTATGATCGTGCACCTACTTTTATTACGAATTCAAATGAGTCGTTCACGCTGTTCATCCCCCCCCCCCTTCACTCCACCCGTCCTGCACCGAGGAACTTCCCAGGCCAAGTAAATGAAAATCTTTCTTTTTAAACTTACTGGGATTGTCCAAATGAGTAACCACGTCTCCTGCAGTTAACATGTAATGGGGTTTAACGTCCTACTCTTCTGCTCCTGCTGGTATACGGAAGACGGACATACTTGGCTTCACAAGGGGTTAAAGATCAGATTTGGTATTTAATTGGACCGCGAACACATGTTTCCTTCGACTTCTATTCCTTTAACCATTGACTTGACTGCATGTACGTACCCTTCAAACGATATTAAAGGGACTAAACCTCTAACTGTTGGTATTAAAGAATAATATTTCAATGTTGGTCAATTGCAATCAATGTTGGTGAATTTCAGTCAATATTTGTGTTGTGATCTCTACTGTGAAAATATGTGATAATAATATCCAATATTGAAGACACAATGAACATTTTAAAATCAGTACACGACCTCGTGTATTCTACATTTTCGAGCTCCATTTGAAAGTTACAAAGACAAACATATACGACAAGACAATGTGGAAGTTATAAAAAAATGGCTGATACACAAACGACAAAGCAAGCACAGGCGCCTGTCCTTCAATTTGGACAGTTCACGTGTTTTAACAAACATAATTGATAAGAATAATAAATTAAAATAAAATAAATTAATGCAAATCATATTATTTAGATTCGTATTGCATTAATATGTGCCTTTAGATCTGGCCCCGGTTTCACAAAACATTTTCAGACTTAAGAATTTACTCAAAACAAATGAAGGTGTTCGGGGAATTCCGAAAAATTAAAAATGTTCATGAAATTTCCTTCTTAATTTATCAAAGTGACAAGGGTATTGCGTCTATAAAACTCTGCACTTGCATGTAATAATCGTGCATGGATGTGCATGACACGCCAAACCATTCATTAATCAAAATTGTTTAAGAGCATTAAGAATGAAGATATATTACATCATTTTTCAAATCACCCTGGAAATAAGTATATAAGACTGTCCAGGATCTTTGGTCGTCAGTCGATCTACAGATTGCTACTGATTCTACAAGAACAATGAAAGTCTTCATTATCGCAGTACTAGCTCTGGTGGCTTTAGGTAACTATCTTTTATTTTATTTCATTAATAGATCGCTTATTATCACCAATCCGCTTAGTCTGCAAGCTGCTACTGATTTTAAAAGAATAACAGAAATATTTATTGTCGTTGTCCTTGCTCTGGTGGCTTTAGGTGACTGTGATTCATTATTTTAATTCATTAATAGATCGCTTGTTATCGCCAATCCGCTTAGTCCGCAGACTGCTACTGATTTTAAAAGAACCACAGAAGTCTCCATTGTCGTTGTCCTTGCTCTGGTGGCTTTAAGTAACTGTGATTCACGTTTCACAACTTGTCAGAAGAAGTACATCTATTTAAAATTGTGAATATCGTTTGTCTGAAATGTGAGGCATAAAGGCAGCTCGAGTTGAGGCATGGCATAAGCCTGGTTTCGTTGTACTGCTACTCAGGGGTCTGCACGTGTAATGCAGGAAACCCGGCAGTGTATAATTAAATGTTTGCCTTTCCAACTTTTAGTCTTAAATCAGTGGTAAATATGTTACTCACATGGAGTGTATTTAGATTTGTGTGTGAGGTAAAAATGGGGTTTAACGACCACTCGACATAAACTAGGACATTTAGGGACCAACGTATGGTTCAATTTTACTTTAATAATTCGCTTTCGCCAAGGGGTCGTTAGAAGTGGGAGGAAATCGGAGGCCCAGGAGAAAATCCACGTGGTTTGACAGGCGACCTACTCATTGTCACGTACAACCATTTAGATTTCTGCAAGTCGGGTTTGTGTTTCAACCTTCGTGTTTTTAAGCGTTTCATGGTCCCAGTTACTGCTCGTTGGATTTAAACCATGGTAGGTAGATATATATGGTGATAGTCAGTACCAAAAACATCCTGAAGGGGCACATAATGATATTTACTCAGCTTGGTTCTGATTGAATGACAATGTCCTGTATGGTCGGAACAGGGATACAATTTGCAATTAAACCGATACCTCAATATCATCCACAGGCGAAATACCCTACGTGCAAGCGCAACATTGAAATAGAACTGAACCATATGTTTGTTCCGAAATGACCTAGTTTGTGTTGAATCGAAGTTAAGCCCTCCCTCTCTCTCTAGGACTATATTAATTTCTATATTTATTCAGCCAAAGCTCAGTACTGTCCGCAGTGTAACCAATGGACCCGATTTTACAACCGGGACAATCAGACGGGCTTTGGAGATTTAGAGCTTCTTTCTGGTCATCGTTATGACAATCCGGGCGAAATCTGTCAGGAACCGGAAGCTGTCGAAGCTCGGAGTACTTCAGGTATTGGTGGAGAAGTGATATCAATTGGTCCTGATTATGGTTTCTCCTGTTCTAATTTCTTACAAGATGATGGCCAATGTCAAGATTACGCTGTTCGATTCTGCTGTAGGCAAAGTAAGTTGAAACTATCTGTTTCTATCTAATTCAATCTATAACCACCTCACGATTAAAAGCAGTAATTTGGAAACGTGTGAGAGGAACCAAATAAGAGGCTCGTATTATATAGATTTTAGACGGTTGAAC